GTTAACTTACACAAGGGGGGGGGAAGGGGCTCATCGGGGGGAGGGGTCACGAACAAAGTGGATGTTTTTGGAACACTTTGGACAGTGCGTACTCAAATACGGTACATTCAAGGATGATGGTCCTTGAGGGTACGTTCATACACCAACCACCTAGCAAAAAAAAAACAAAAAAAAAAAAACATGCTGTAATGTGCACTCCAGGCCATTAGATGTCGATACGTGCAGCAACTGCATGTCCTAACGCAGTGGTTCATATGCACATTCATCGAACCCGTCATTCGTGAAAAATAAAAATATGATTATTTTACAAATTCAAGACATTAAAAAAAAAATCGCATTTATTAAAAACAGAAAAAAGTAAACACAATTAGTATGAAGTATAATTTTTTTCAATTGTGCACAAAATGAACCAGCCAATGATGGCCAAGCGGGCGTATCATAACTAATTGACATGTTGAGTCGGGTGTGTCTTAACTTCCATGTCAGGGGCTTTGTGGAACCCCAGAGACTGATTCACCGAACCCCTAGGGTTCGATCGAACCCAGGTTAGGAACCACTGTCCTAATGTCTTTGAAGTACAGTCACAGGGAAACGCAAACAACCACGGCTAGTTGATTTTCCACTTTAAAATATCTACTGTATAACTGCCTATACAGGTATTAAGTCTATTAGTTTTACCACAAACTATGATCCCATAATCATTTAATATTATTTGAAACTCATTTTACAACGTAACCCTGAAAAATAAATGGATTCCAGACACCAGAACACTAGAAGTGCGCCTGTTCATGCACATGTGGAGAGTTTCCCTAACTTCCACTAAGAGCCCAGGCTAAACGTAGTCGCTCCCGGTCATACAAATTTTATCTCTCGGTCAAGATGTATAACTTAAACATTATACTTCCAACGACTGCTGACCTCCAGCAAGCAATAAACTACCGTAGTTTGTGCAGAGGCGTTAGAATACGGAGAGACACGGCATGCTCAAGTACCAATGTACTAACTGTTTTTCATTTGTTTAGTTTAATATTTATGGCCTAAAAGTGTTTTCCATACAAATATTAACTGTAATACAGACTTTACTACTGTGTTAGTGTGGGGAAGTAGTATAGGAAAGTGTGTGTTCTGAACAAAGTAAAATAAAAGAACTGCAAAAAAAAAAAGCACACTTGCTAAGTTTAATGATTTTACTCGTCTGGATTGCTGTAGCCACTTTTTTTCTCACATTTCAGAGCTGATGCCCAGTAAAGCGTACATGAAGAAGCTCTTAAGAGCACAGGTAGCCCACCTGACATATTCATCACTACCCGCACGGAGCGCCGGACCGTCGGCTAACGCTTCCGTATGAATATTTATCTGAAGAGGGCCGGCGTCGGAACAGATGAGCTCGCAAGGGTGGTGACGGGGGGGAGGGATTAGCGAGCTCACCATCCATCTCGCTCGCTCGCGTTCGCCGCTCGCCATCCGTTACTTTCCTCCCGCAATCACCATTTCAATACCCGCCTCCCTGCCCCCGTGTCCTCCGGGCTTCCCTGCTATCACCTCTACTATTGCTCTTCCCCTTAAACACTGCCCACCACCCACCCGCCCTCTTCTTCCTCTATCCAATCCCTCCACCGGGCTATATATATATATATATATATATATATACTGTATATGCTCAAGGATGGATGGATGGAGAGAGGAAGGGGGAAGAAGGAAAAAGTGTGTGATTAATGTCTTGGAGAAAAAAAGATAAATAATCACAGGAGACTGGGGGGCTGGTAGTTGGCCTTAGGGGAGCAAATATGGAGAGTTTTATGGCTGGGGAGGAGAGGAGTACAGCGACAGCAGATCCATTCAAGTATATTAGCCTCCCTCACCCCCCCCCCACACGCACACAATAACCTCAGCATCTATTCTATTGCGCTACTGTCTTTCATCATCAACAATGAATCCCATCCCTGTGACAGCGCACGCACGCACACACACGCGCGGATAAACACTTTTTTTTTTTCCAGGCCACTGTATATATGTGTGTGATGGGCCAATACATGTGCTGTGTGATGTGGCTGACAGCCCCCTCACCACTCCCCCCCCCCTCTCTTTCCCTACCCCATGCTGCCCTGCTTTTAAGCCCCTCATCCTCCAGTGGCTGCCTGTCCCCTGGAGTAGATTGCATCTTTTATTTATCACTTTTTCCTCCTCCTTGGCTTTATTTCTTCTCAACCGCCAACCGCATGCAAAAAAAAAAAAAAAAAAAAAAAAAAAAAAAAAAAAAAAAAAATGGAGCGAAAATTGCAATCAGTATAACACGATGTCGTCCTCCTGCTGTGTGCTCGCCTGTCATCCTCGCCTCTGTTGTGAGCGGATGAGACTGACAGCCCGTGCAGACGAGGACACAAACACATGCGCAGACCGCCAACCCTGAGCCCCCCTCTTCTTCTCTCTCACACACACACACATGCTCGCACAAACACACTTGCAGACAAAGGACAGGCATAGTAACCAATTAGGCGATTAATTGATTGTTGAGAATGATTCCAATTGTGCGGGATTGATTGCCGATTCATCGCATCTTGAAGCAATCAAGACAGAACTGAGGGCTCCACTTAGCGGATGACGTCAACTATGGGCAGAGGGGGTCTACTACGCACGCACACTGGTATGGAAGCAGGAGTTTAGAACATTCAGAAAGCGCTCTCTTTTAAGGATGGGGGAACTGACTGGGGTTGACGGACGGACTGCTGTGAAAATGTATGACCAATTAGTCCACTGATTACATCCATCCATCCATCCATTTTCTGATCCGCTTTATCCTCACAAGGGTCGCGGGGGGTTGCTGGAGCCTATCCCAGCCGTCTTCGGGCAGTAGGCGGGGGACACCCTGAACCGGTTGCCAGCCAATCGCAGGGCACACAGAGATGAACAACCATCCACACTCCAACTCACATCTAGGAACAATTTAGAGTGTTCAATCAGCCTGCCATGTATGTTTTTGGAATGTGGGAAGAAACCGGAGTACCCGAAGAAAACCCACGCAGGCCCGGGGAGAACATGCAAACTCCACACAGGAAGGCTGGAGCCGGGATTTAACCCACGACCTCTGCACTGTGAGGTCGATGCGCTAACCACTGGACCACCCATTCATTATGTATTGCTGTTTTATTATTGTTGTTATTATTTAAAAACAATGGTAGATTCAGAACCAGCGCAAAAAAAAAAAAATTGATCCAGAAAAGTTTACATCTCGGATTACTCTTTCTGTACTATTGTTGCAATCAGGAGAATTTCGCTCTTCTTCTTCAGAAAATGCTGCGACTGAATCAAAAGCGCCTCTGCTGGTTGCAGCCTAGAAGTGCATGCCATCAAAACAATCCCCAAATATTCCTGTCAGTCACTTCCAACCCTACACACTGACGCGTGGCTAGTGAAGGTAGCACCCATGCTCGTGTTCTTTCAACTGTGTTTGCATTTGCTATACTGTGTTTATGTTAAACAATGGGTAGAATTTGTAGGATGAACTATGACAGCGTAGTCAAAACTGGCCAAAATGGTCCATGGCTCGATCATCTAAGTAAATGTAAATGTTATTGTGTTTGATGTGCTCTTTATCGTTAATTTACATGTTCATTCAGTATGTTTGAGTGAGAGATAGCAGGCACCTATCCATCGATCAATTCTAATGCACTTGTCATATTTATTGGCGCTTGTGAGCTGGAGCCCATATGGAAAACAAAGATTCAAACCCAGATCTACTGACTGTGAGGCGGATCTGCTATCCACTACGTAACCATGCATTACTGTGACATCCATCCCTCCATTTTATGGCACTTATCCTCATTAGGGTGGCAGGTGAGATAAAGCCCATTTTAGCTGACTTTGAAGTGAGAGGCGGGGTTCGCCAAGTGCTGGTCAGTTAATCAAAGAGCAAACTACTACTCACACTTACGATTATAGGAATTTTGGACTCCTATTGTCTTAACGTGCATGGTTTGGGGATGGGAGATGAAGTACAAGAAAACCCATGCCAACATGCAAACTCCCATGCCCAAATTTAAACCCAGGACATTTCACTGTGAGCCAGACATGTTAACCACTAGTCCAGCGTGCCGCCAAGCACCTAACAACAGTTAATTTACCCGTAACTCTGTGCTCAATCGAGTTCCCAAACCCCAACTCTGGAGCGTGAGCGTCCAATGAGTCTAATAGTGGAGAATCTGGTAAACAGGCCAGCTCCAGAGGAGAGTGGAGAAGGGGGGAGATCTGCCCGCCTGTCTGCCTGCCTGCCTGCTCCATGGCTACTATTGTGCATTGCACATTCTCCAAGCCCACAAGAGCTCCAGCCATCTCCGCACGCAGATTCTTTGGAGGCATAGCGAGCCAAGGAGGAGGAGGAGGAGGAGGAGGGGGAGGAGAAGGAAGATCATGCATAAAATCTTGTTTGCAGGATGCGTTCAGATTCAGATGAACCAGGGGAGGGTAATGGGATTAGAATCCTGAACGGCTTCCAAGGGTGTGGAGTGGGATTGACAGCTCCCGAGTCCAACGCGCTTGGTGAAATATGAGGACAGGGGAAAAAAGGCGAGAGATAGCGGGGTTCTGATGCCACATTCCCCACTCCCCCGTAATAAAAGTAGGTGAATCATTTGCATCCAGCAGCCACATACGTCCTGGCATTTTACAGAGCGAGAGAGAGAAAGCGAAAGAGTGTTTGGCAACCAAAATAGAAGCACTGTGGCTTTAAATCGCCCCAGCCCTCCCACCCTTCTTTTCTAAATATCGTCTATTTAGCCAGCGGTGAAAAGATATAGGGGGGCTTTTGTCTGTGGATCGGTCGGTGCTGGTGGGGGGAAAGCTGCAAAGGCAGAAAAATAGGAACAAAGTGCTATATAAGCTTCCATTGGGAGGACGGGGAGAGCTCCGGGGAAAGGAGAAGTGGGCTACTATTACGTGGAAATACCCGGCATTGTTTACACTAGAATAGAAAAAAACTGGCACTGGTGTTGATTGGCACTCACCGACTTGCAGTACGTTGTCCACCCAGCCGCCCTCCAGGAGAGTGACACCCCGCAGGAAAGGCAGCTGAGTCTCGTCGTTATTGTCCCCGCTAGTTCCACTCTCCTCGGCCCCGGCGTTGAAAGACGAGTACATGCAGATCTCCTTCTCGCTCCGCGGGAACGACCAATATACGATCCGGCGCTGCACGGGCTCCGGGATCCGCTCGAAGCGCTCCTCCACCCGTTGGAAGGGCCACTTCTCAGCCACTCGGCGCGCCGCGATGTCGAGCAGCGACTCCGGGTTGTGCGCCTTGCCGCTCTGCCCCGCGGCGGAGCCCGAACCGCCGCCGCTGCCGCCACACAGGACTCCTCCAGCCCGCTGCCCCTGCCTGCACGCCGGGTTGTAGCCGGGCCGGCAGCAGAGCCGCTTGGCTGGAGGCTGCTGGACTCGCTCGGCCATGTTCGCACCGCTTCCGACCTGCTTCGCCGAGCCTCTCCGATCATATAAACAGGATAAGGAAGAGAAAAGGGGCACTCTCGCGCCGATTGTTTGCCCTACATGGGCAGGCAATCCTTATTTGGTGATAGGGGCGGAGACGTGTGTCGTCACAGAGGCTTTTGTGTATCTATAGGCGTGGCCTCAGAGGGGGTGCTGCTATAAAAGGAAGCGGAGGCGGAATTCCCGAACGTCGGCAAATCCTTTGTGAAGCCGTCGGGGCGCGCGAGGGCGGAGCCCCGACGGCCGACGGGGCCTTTTGAAGTTTTGCCTTCTTGTTGGGAGTTTAAAGGCGGAGGCTTAATCCAGAGGCGGTCTTGGCGGCTCCCAGCGGGCATAAAGGGGGGCGAGAAAGCCCACTTTTTTCTCCCCTTTCATTTTTTCTCCTCCAGTGGAGCTGCAGTAACAGCATGATGCTTGTTTTTCGAGGCCTGGCGCCTCCCAAAATGCTGACTTTTAGCTGTTAAAACAGTCAAAAGACATGGTGGTAAAAGTTAGTGAGGTGGACATGTAAACCAAAATGCATTTGGTACTTGGGCCTTCAGTGGGGACTAACCCAACTGAATCCTCATCTTAATACTACTTCTTTTACATGAATACTATATATTAAAAAAATAACCAAAAGAACGCATAACCCAGCCGCTGGGGGGCAGTGCCCTCCCCTGGGGGTGCACTGTTCCCCAGTGCCGGTCCCAAGCCCGGAGAAATGGGGAGGGTTGCGTCAGGAATGGCATCCGGCGTAAAACTTTTGCCAAGACGACCATGCGAGTTGGTAGGACGGTTTACAGGGGCGGATGGAAATTACTGACTCGCTGTGGCGACCCCTGAATAGGGACGTGCCGAAAGGAGAAGAAGAAGAACCAAAAGAACGCATGTACAGCACACAACCGTTCCACAGATATTATTCCGAATCAAGCGACAAGAAAAGCCATTAAGACTGTTGGTGAATCTCTGGTGAACGTTTGCTAACCTTGAACAAACCCTGATCTGAAATCAACATTCGCTACTTTCGAAAACACTTCCAAATTACACCCCTCAATAGGATACGGGCTTCAATGTCGTGTGTAAACAAGTGTCTACTGTATGAACTGACTTAAGTAACTACCTGCTTTTTTCTCTGATTGTAAAAGGAAGGCATGAGGGAGGCATTCACTTCAGCCTCTCCTAAATTGATGTTTTTTTTCTTGTAGCACGTTCTCCAACTCCCCCCAAAATGTCTGCTGTGTCTCCATGTCTGGCCACATGATTACTTTCCCGTAACAGTCATTAAAAGTAGTGGAGGTGGATGGATACAAAATGGCGGTCATATCATTTGGTGTGCCCACCTTCCTGTGTGTGTTCCGACTGTGACAAGAAAGTGGGGCCATGCTTTTGTGGGTGTTAGCTTGTGGTTACATCGCCTGGCCCCGGGTTGCCCACCACTGACAAGACGCCCAGAAATTACTGGAATAATTAAAACAATTAAACAAAATGGCCGCCAGATTGCCGGCGTGCTTCTTAATGGGCTATAAAAAGCCAGCCAAAAGTATGCCTGTAAATCAGAAATGCTAGCAACATGTTCCTAGCTGCCCCCGCCGCGACTCTTGCGAGGGGAACTAAAAAGGCTGCCCTTTGAACCACGTTGAAAGCGATCTGTGCCGTATGGAGCCAGCAGATGTGGCCTAACCTGATTTGGTTTCAATACTTCCCTACAGGAAGTTCACAAAGCCAGGAGGTCCTGCTTTGTTATGTTAGTCATCTTTCTCAAAGGGCCAAAAGAGCCTTTTTGGCTCCCTTTCTTCTTGCGGACAGGAGTTATTGCTTTATAATTTGCAGGATTTTTCAAAAAGAAAATTTACTAGTGATCACATATTTCTCCCTAATAAAAGCCAGGTGTCAAATGTTTTTGTGTGGGTTTTTTTTTTACAAGGTAACATGTGTTTCACAGTGTGCCTCCTCAAATAATAGTTTGTGCTCCAATGCAGACCGTGTCTTAATCAATCACGACTCACCTACAAAAAATGCCTCATTTTTTTTTATAATAGAAAGAAAATGTTATCCCACAAGTTATGATGCATTATATATATATATAACAAAATCCATCCCTGCGACCAAGTCGTACCTCTGCCTGGAAGGCTCTCCACAGCCTGTTCAAATGTTTCTCAGTGATAATGATTCCTTGCAATGCCAAGCTTTTCGTGATGTCCTTGTAACTCATCCAGAGGCTAAAATAAACTTCGATCACGCTGTCTTTGTCCATTATGGAGCGTTCCTTCGACTTTTCAACTTTGAAAGAAGGTGCGTTCGATTTTCTTCTTCAAATGACCCGCAAAGAGCCACGGCTACTTCATGTGCACGAACAACTACTTAGTGCGCGCTTTCTCACCATTTTGTGCACACAATATAGTAGTCCATGAGCACAAAGTAGTAGTTCGTGCCCATAAAGTAGTTCCTCGTGCGTACATAATAGTTACAGCGGGTGCACAATTTATTTTTTCAAATGTCATGTCTGGAGCTCGGTATATTTTCAGTCTTTGGACATGTAGTCAAAAGGATGAGATCCTATCCTATATTGTTAATCTACCAAGTAATAATGAACAATAAATTAATTTGTCGCAGTCCAAATTACCTCCTGCATTTTCATCAAAACTCTGTCAAATACTGTTCATTTTCATTGCTCAGTGTTTGTGTTTTCCCTGTGCATGACAAACATCTTAAATCTTTGACTCATCATCGTAAAGAACTACAAGTCCCAGATAAACATGGTGAGACCGTCACATCCTCCCTAGCCCTGCATCCGGAAACAGGAAAATAAACCGAAAAGGGAGTAAAACGAAAGTATCTCACCCAGGTTTGTATCTGTCTCTTCTGGCTCGCCGCGTAATTCACAATTTACCTTTTAAAATCCACATCTGTTCGCTTGTTTCGTTTGTCGAGCTTCTCGTCTTTGTTGCAACTCGGGCCGTTATCCGGCCACTGGCTAGCTGATGATGCTAATCCTTGTCGAAAATGTCGCTTAAATCTCTCACGGAGACCATCAAGCTTCACGTGTTTTACTAACGACAGATGAATAGAAACGAGTCGTGATATTTTTGAGGACGTCGAGCTATTTTTTTCGTTCGTCTTGAATGATGAACAAGTAGCGAGCATCAAATTAGTTGTTATTCTAAAGGTGTGACGTTCATTTTACTCACTCATATCGGCGAGTATACGTTATTTACGTCTGTTTAAGCTCGAGTTTATGCAATGGTGTCTCCGATTTAGGCTGGTGGAATCTTTGAGTGGCAGCACAGAAGTTAGTGTTGAGCTTGTTGTGCCTCAATTTGAAGTTCGGGGTTTGAATCTCGGCGTGCTTGATGCCTTCCGGTCGCATTAAACATGTTGGGGATTCAAAGATTAAACCATTACTGGTTGTCAATTGTAAATGTTTGTGTAAGATAATGCAGTATGTGCGAACAGTGTCTCGCCTATCACCTTAAATCGTCTGGGATAGACTGCAGCTCATTCCCGACCCTAATGGGGTTAAAGATAACCTCTGGGAAATTGATATTTTTACTGTCTAAAAGAGTCATGAAGTGTTCTGTCACAGAGACAACCGAAGAAGTGATAATGCAGCACAACATTTTTCCTCTTTTATTAACTTGAGAGTAGCACAGAAGAAATATATGGCAAGCATTGCCTCAGGGTTTGATGGCATCAAAGCCCTAAGTTTTGCTTCCAAAATGTACAACTGATTAATTATACCTGAAAAAAACAATGTGCTTCATGTTCTTTTTCAGATTCAACAGTGAATTTTACAACAGCTGACGTTCTTGGTTTTTAGGCAAGACAACATTTTCCACAAGTCATTTGTTCGAGTTGACAGTATCTGTCAATTCTCTTCAATAAGGACTTGGACGGGGACTATTTTTTTTTTCCTCCGAATGTATCACGTCGTTGTTAATGCTCCCTAATTCACATTTCTCCATGATACTACTGTTTCTGTTTTACCGCCTTTGCTTTTTACCTCAGAGGTTAATAAGTAACATGCCTCTTTTGACAGATATTCTTTTTCATATTTGGGACATCAATGGAGACAGACACCATAAAAATACAGTACAGATACATGAAAAATATACTTAAAATTGATCTCTCATTCCATAAATAGGTTAATGGTAACCTTCAAACAACTGTGACACACAATTACTGTGAGGGGAAAAACAATGGAGCTTAATTTGGGACCTTCTCCCGCCAACTTCTTGCTTTTAAATATGCTGCATCTTTTCTAGTTAAAAAAAAAAGAAAAAGAAAAACAGTGCTGCCAGGCATGTTGTAGCACAATGTGGAACTGTACAAAAAATTAGCAACTCTCAATTGGGACTTGCCTTTCCTCGATATAGCCGGGGAACACTCCTTGTCTGTAATTATTTTCCATCACAGCACAACGTGACACTGCATGGCATCCAAAATGTTTGCCCCACTGGTCACCCAACCACGAATGCACTATTCTTTTCCCAGCACCATGATTGAGACGATGCGAGCATGGGCCCAGTACATTGTGGAGTGGGCCGCCAAGGACCCCTATGGCTTCCTGACCAGCGTATTGCTGGCGCTCACGCCTCTCTTCATCGCCTGTGCGCTGTTGTCGTGGAAACTGGCTAAAATGATTGAGGTTCGCGACAAGGAGCAGAAGAGGAGGCTGCGGCGTCAGGAGAACCTGGCCAAGGTGAAGAGGAACTAGAAAGACGGCTGTGTGGAGGATGAAGGCCCCGCCCACCCATTGCCTTCACCACCAGCGCAAACCCTTTGGGGTCGGGGCTAACTTGCCCCCACCCGTCGAACAGTGCCAAGACGGAAGTTCCCGTTGGACTTTCGGCAGCAAGAGTGACATTTTGATACACAAGTTTGCTTGTCAATGTGTGTCGCTTTTGCCACACATAGCATTCCATTTTTAACATCATCATGTTTGTTGAAATGAAGCCCCTCTGTATCTAACAGATTTATTTGAAATCAACAGAGATGAAAGTCCTCCCAATTTTTCCGGAATTCCGGATTTAAAAAATTTCATGAAAATTCCTCGGGAAAATTGAGCAAAAATTGCCTAAAATTAATCCGGATATGAGTTGACAACATTGAACGAACACGCGTTTCAGTTCGTTGTTTTGCTTTCACGAGCGTAGCCATGTTGAGGCACTAACACTCGTAACAGTAAAGAGATTTTCGTCTCTTTCATAAACACACTTGATAACCCCCATTGGAACGAATAAAAGACGCCGTAGACAAGACAGTTGTTGTAGTAAAAAATATATAATTAGACAAAAAGGGAAACACAGATTAGCAGAAAAAACATGTCCGTTACGACCTCGAGTGTCATGTCGTCTTGGCGAGCTTAGCTGTTGTCGTAGCTCAAAACTTCTTTGATCTGTGACATTGGTTGCGTCGGCCCTGATTGGTTGAAACTGCAAGACGCGCGCGTGCGTACATGTTCGTGCTGACACACGCATAGCAGAGAGCAGCGGACTGTCGACTGCTGCTGCACTCTCTGTCACACACACACACACACACACACACACACACACACACACACACACACACACACACACTATTTTTTCCCCCCTGAAATTTCAGGAAAGTCCACTTTCATCTCTGAATCAATAAAGTTTTCAGAGTTGCTTAAAAAAAAGCCTATTTTCTTTAAGTTCGTTTCCGAAAATGTACAGTGGTGCCTTTAGAGTTGATTCATTCTTGTGACTGAATTGTGATAGACCCGCCCGAAATTTTCAGGAAAGTCCACTTTCATCTCTGAATCAATAAAGTTTTCAGAGTTGCTTAAAAAAAAGCCTATTTTCTTTAAGTTTTCCGAAAATGTACAGTGGTGCCTTAAGAGTTGATTCATTCTTGTGACTGAATTGTGATAGATGTGCTGTTTTGCAGGAGAAGGGAATCTGGTGCTGGAAATCTGCTGATTCCAATTACGACTGTTCCGCGGTCTGTCTGCTCTTTATCAAGAGCTACTTCATTATTTGCTTTGAGAGGGCAGCCCAATAATATAGTGGTTAGCATGTCTGTTGACTGAACAGTTTAAAGATTGTGGGTTCAGATCTCTGCTGAGTGTTGGCATTTTCTCCCAGTGATTGCACGGATTTTGTCTGGATTCTCCGGCTTCCTCCGCATTCCCAAAAAATCAATTTTACACTGGGGGAGAGGGGGGTTACCAGCATTGGATATTTACATAAACAAGTATGGTCATTGTTTGCATGGCCTGGCCACAACCCACTTATGATAGGCCCATGACTGCCTCTTTACGTCATTTTCATTCATACCTCCACTTTGTTAGTACATTTGCTGTTCAAAGGTCTTCATGCCAAAATTGTTGTCCGACATGAATAATACGTCAATCTGAGCCCAGATTTCAGAGTCAAAAGTGGTCAGATTTACTGAATTAATGTTTAATTTTGATGATGGCCGAAATATACATACAAGTCTTTAATACTGTACAGGGAACACGCTTACATGTAGTAATAGTCCACACTTTGGTGCCTGCTGTTTTGGTTCGCAACAGATCCTAAATTGGCAGATTGTTTTCATATTAGCGTGTGAACAAATAAATGCAATACCATGTTACGTCTATCTTCCCATAAGCTAAAATGTAAGGCTACATGGTTTTTTTTTCTAGACAATCTGAGATAAAACTAAACTCCTCTTGACATTGTTAAACGCTTGCGTTAGGTTTAGCAGCATGATAAAACACGAATATTGGATATCTATACACACAGTTCGTCAAACAGAATATAAATAATGTTCCTTTATTTTCTTGACACGCCAATATTAAACACACTCACCTGCCACTTCATTAGCAGCATAATCAAAGAGATCCACGACAAGAGCTGTAAGAAAACAGCCTGCCTTTCTATTGGATTGCGCCACACGGCCAAGCGAACCGAGTCCATGCCGCCGTCTCTTTAAGCTTTCTGTTTGGGATTAGGCCGCCAGGAGCCCGGCTGGAAGGTGTTGGCGGTGCTGGTGGGTTCCTCGCCGAGTTCCTGCTTGCCAAAGCTGGTGGCGGCCGCATGGCCCGCGGCCACAGTCCTGGACGGCGTCGCCACCAAGCCTTGCTCGTATTCCTTCGCTTTCAGGGCCAAGTCTTTCTCCTCCACCTCCATGGCCTTCAGCTTGATCTGCTGCCTGTAGGCCTCGTTCTCTGCCAGCTCCTGCGTAAATGCACACGGGCCATCTTTTTGGTGAATATCTGGAGCAAATTGGATTATTATTTACACATTTTGCGTTTTGGTGTTGTGTGATGCGATTTTAAAAGCACTTGTTTGCCAAAGTCCACCAGAATTGATCATGGTCAGGTGGACTTGAAACTCTTCAATTATTATTTACTTTACAGGGTCTTTAAATCACATCGAGAGTGTGAGAGAGAACGAGATGTACAGCGATACGGGGTATATATAGAAAGAGAAAATGAAATGAGACGACGAGAGATAAAGAAGCAAATCGTTAGAGAAAGTGAGATAGAGCTATCGATAGAGGGGTAAAGATAAAGAGAGATGCATATCCTTACTCTGCTTTTCCTTTTTTTTTTTTTTTTTTGGTACACAAAACAGCATCTGCTCATGTGTTTAAAAAAAAAAAGCAGAGGCGACTCAAAAGTGGCACTGCCAGGAACAAACGCGCATGAAGTCGGACATTTATTACAATGAGTGAAACGTCTAATTGTCCACGCTTGGAAAGGCCTGCTCAACAAACATTCCTGCTCGAAACCACCCCGCATCACTTGAGCCATGTCATAAAAAGGCCCTGCCGACTGGGCCGCTGCTCCACCGCGCTGGCCTGGAAAAGCGAGCGGCGCGGCCAAAAAAGCGACACTTTGAGGGGACGACGGAGACAAACATACCGAGCTGCTTTTCCAGCCTGTTAATGACAGGATTTAATCCAATCAATTTAGGTCGGAATTGGACTGGGAAGAGAGAGGCGTGACAAGGGGGTTTAGGGTAAATGTGCCAGGAGCGAAGCCTTGGTCGGTCCAGCTGTCGACGAGCGGACACACGGCAAAGAAAATTGGAATAGAATGTTCTGGCACGGCGGTGGGGTAGGGATGGCACATGCCCGCTGGCAAGGAGAGACGAGTGAGCGAGGGATTTCCGATATAGAGCCACATTTCGTTGCGGGGCCTAACTCGTTTCCAGCATTCTTGCGTTTAAAGAGCAATTAAAACCCAGAGAGAGCGACACGAGGGAGAGGACGAAAGAAAGGACCATCCTTCAGCATTCCCATCGAACACAGAGCCAGAAATAAAACACACACACACACAAAGTCCACATGACACACACTGGCCTTATGCTTGAAACGTCCATGCATCCACTTTCAATACAGTTTATTGTTATTGGATCACGGGGTGAGCTCGAGCCAATCCCAGCTGACTTGGGCGAGAGGCGGGGTAAACATGAATGCGCTGCTCAATATGTCTAACGCAGGTAAAACGCAAGTGCACGTGTCATGTGGAGGCAGGCGGGCTCCTTTGAGCGAGACGGCGTATGTGCATGTCAGCCTGCGGTCAGACCGAATGCGAGCTGAGCGTTTCTGGTGGCGCCATTTCCACATGTACTCAATGCACTTTGCACGGTTGTGTGTGACAATATTGCTTGTTCTCCTATTTTGCTAATGTGAAATTTTGGTAGCCAGTCGTACTTGAAAACAGAACAACAGACACACAAAGTTAAAAACAAAAACAGCATGGGGAAATAAAAATAATGTGGGACAATATCATTGCTGTCTGTTGGACTGAGAGTTGTACAACACAGCCAGCTTCTAATACTTGCCGGGCACCGAATGGGGTGTGGGGAAGTTGGCATATCTGGTGAGTGTATTGACTTTTTTACAGCTGTTGAACTGTCAGCCAAGATAGCATTTCGCAGCCAAAGCTACACAACCACTGATCACCAGATTTAACTAGCAATGTTGAAACTTTTTTTTTTTTTTTACCAACAGCAAATGCAAATCTTTCCAGAGACATTTTTTTTTTTCATTTTGCTAGCTTGTGGGTTTAATGCCAGCGTTACGCGACCGTGATTTGATATGCGTAATGAGTCCGTCATCGATGGATGTAACAGAGAAAATCTGGTCACTTTTAAAAAATAAAATATTTTCCAGCCTCGGATTTAAAAAAAACAAACAAACAAAAAAAACGAATAGTGTCATGAGTCAGACTCAAATCCATTTGGAAGTCATTCGCTGGCATCAACAAGAATAGCGACCAATCAGTCGAGACTGCGTTTGCCTTTACCTTTCTACTTACGAATTTTTCACATCGTACCATCACCCACAGGTGTTGGAAAAAAAAAGTCTATTAAGAGAACGTAAGAAGTAGAAAGTACAGACATCTTTATACAAACACAGGCAGTTGAAGTAAAAAAAAAAAATCATCAGAAAAATAAATATTGACGTAAAGCGGCCTGAAGATGCCTGAAAAATCGACTTCTGTACTGGATTTAACTAGGACATGGTGGTTATTTTAACGCCGCTCCCAAAAGTTTCTCGTTAGAAAGCGAAGGGGAGAAAACAAATCAAAAGCCTCTCCTTTCCCTTGAAGGCCCCCCTCCTACTCCCACCTCCCAAGAGTCCAAGCATCATCACAGCAGGGAGGCTGCTGCTGGATGGTGGCAGGGGAGACGTACCTCCACAGAGGGAGGCTCCTTCCGTCTGCCTCGGATCCAAGCTGTAGGAATGAAAAAAAATACAAATCGTGAAAACACCCACACAAACAAAACCTGCAGTCATATTTAAAAGTAGCAGCAGACTTTTTTTTAAGGCACTACAACTTTTTGATGGTCGACTTGTTCTCATTTGGAGCTGTCGCTCCTGAAGTTGGACAATTCCCAATTCAAACGTTTTCCGGGGGCAAAAGTGACTTGAGAGTCTCAGCTACTGTTGCGCGTCATTACGGCGCATCTCGTAAGACCTCGATTCAGCAAGCAGCAACAGATTCATTCTGGAGCGCATATTTTTTGCTCTTTGGCATTTATGGGCAACCTTCCTATGGGGTCTACAACAAAAGCCAAATGCTGCAGCTTTCGATATTTTTGTAAAAAAAGGTGAGCGGCAAAAATGATTGGGTACCTCTGACTCAAACCGAAAACAATGAAAAAAAGGTGGGGGGTTATATTACAGACTCATCGCCGGGTCTAATTTTCCCACCTACCAACCGCTTCCGGTAGAAAATGTTGTGGTTTGTTATTCGGGGTTTTTTTTTTTTTTTTTTTTTTTGCAATGTTGTGGTTTGTTATTCAGGGTTTTTTTTTTTTTTTTAATTTGGTGTGTGTTTCGTTATTTGTCTTCGTGTTTTTTGAAATGTTGTTGTGAGTTTGGTCATTTGTTGTGATTAGCTAATTGCTGTTGTGTTCACTTATTTACTGTTGTTGTTTTTTTCATATGTTGTGTTTTTTTTAAAATTTGCTGTCATGTTTTTGAATTTGATGTTTTGTTTCGCTATTTTCTGTATTGTTTTGCAATTCAGGGCCACCGTACATTTACCCAATTGCTCCGTCTTGGTCCAATGACATGCAAGTTTTTTTTTTCTTTTTTTAACTAGCGGAACCATTGGAGGTCACTTGATTTTTTTTTGTTTTTTTTTGCTACCCGAATGTGCGTGTGGCGTCACGGTGAAAATATTTATTGGAGAGATACAATCTGGAATTAAAAGGTTTCAGAAAATCTAAATATTAAACAATCACAAAACAACAGCAAGGATGGCTATCGTTTTCTCACGCCAGCGTACAAAACCAGTTCATCAACCTTGTACGTGAGCACCCTCTTGTATTTCTATATTTGAAGAGAAGCACTGTCCTGGATGTGAGCATTTCTACTTTATTTTGCTCAATGAGCAATGGAGTGGGGTCAAGAAAACAGTTCGCCCGACCACTTGGATCACTGACAGTCCTGGAAGAGAACGGGTGGATCCATTCTGATCTCGGAATTTGAAAGCATACACATGCTGTCATTTCCCATCAGTGCCTTTGTCCTTCCTTTTCCGTCTCTCTTTTGCCCGTCTGTCTGTCTGTCACATCCCCACACTTTTTTTTTTTTTAAAGAAGCTCTATTTTGGCTGAGCTGGCTGCATAGCCTAGCAGGTTCAAGGAAGCCAAAGAGAGAGTGAGAGAGAGATTCTCTAACTCTTCCTCCAGCTAGCGCGGGGGATTCTGGGCCCTCTTTTATCCCTTTTCTTATTTGCATGCTGATGAAAATGCATGAGGGATGGGGCGAAGCGGGATGAGGGGTTTAAGGTGGATAAAGCCAGCCTGAGACAGAGGGAACCGTTTGTATCCACTTGTAAGGAACGCTAGTTTACCGGCACGCTTGCATAATGCCCGCAGAAGGTGTCTCTGATTAAAAAAAAAAAAAAAAAGTATGTTCCCAACCCCCAACTTGCAATGCGAGGGTGGAATTAAAAGCGGAAAAAACATGAGGGGAAGGGCTCATTTCGATGCTGAGAGAGAGATGGACACTCACCATCCCACTCGATGGGGATGCTGCCTTCCATATATTCGTGCTCTGTGGGATTCGAGGCCTCCACCAGCCTCTTGGCACGGACGAGTCTCCCTGGAACAAAAGGAGAGGGCGCACGAGATGATGCAAAGCGGTACAAACAAACAACAATGACGAGTCTCACACACACACACGGACACACATATACACACGCACAAGCCCCCTCCTTGCTCACACATAAATACACGGAGGAATGACAGCGCTGTGACAGGCCATGGATGATTACCTCGTGGCCCCCGGGCCCTTCTCCTCAGATCTCACTGAGTGGCTCCAAATCTGGGCTAAGCCTTTATGCAAATGAGGCTCCCTTTCACCCGACCAACCACGGGCCCCCTCCAACCGACTTTCACCGACCAGCTCTACCAATGGCGGCGCCGCGGCTAACAATGCCCTCCAAAATCAACATCAAGCCACGCAGGAGACAAAAGAGGTCAGATATCACAGGGAACAGTAGGGAAGGAGGGGGTCGGCACGAGCCGTGTGGAATATTAAGTGTTCCCGTTCCCTATCGGTGTACGGCACGAGGCTCGCCGGCAGCAAGGCCGCCACCAATTATTTTGGTGGAAATCTGCTGATTAGACAAGTTTGGCTGGCACACAATGGCAAGAGAGATGGCGACGAAGGAGGAGGGCGGGCGGTGGGTGAGTGAGAGAATGAAAGGAAACGACGGTGCGGCTTTATGTGGCATGCGAGTGCTTTGTTTCCGCAGATTCCCCCCTCACAGGTAGTCGCATGTCCGGCCACCCCCCCCCACCGTCCTCCCTCCGGTGACAAAGAATGGGCGGTCGGAGGTAAAAGGAAGGCAGTCATTGAAAGAGAGAGCGAGAGAGCAAGGGAGAGTGATGATGCACGGCAAAACATGGCTAGGAGGAGAGAAATGGACGGGCAAGGAAAACAACACGCTTCAAAACACAGACAGACAGTCAGGATTCCATCAGCGCTCAGGCGTCAGCTGACAGGACGCGGACGGATGACCTTGATGTTTGCATCGTTGCGGCGCGAGTGTATAATGGACAAGGACACGCTGAGACAAAAGTGTTTCGCACCAAGCGGTGTTTGGTACTCATTTATTTGCCTTGACTTCGCAAATGTCCAACTGACAACCGGTGGGGCGTCCACGTCATATTAACCTACCTCTATTTTCCTTTGACATAGTTTCAGAACTAGCTAAACTAATAATGCAGTGGTACCTTGACTTCAGAGTTGAATTTGTTCTGTGACCACACTCGTACCTCAAATCACTTCGGTCCCACATATGCACACGTCCTACAACTTTTGCTATTGAAATGAAAGGAAATGCTCCTCCAAAAGCTGTCACCTTATCATGGAATACGTTTTTTCCTTGCCCAGACGTTGGTCACCGGGGCCCTCCATCTGGAGCCAGGCCTGGAGGTGAGGCTTGAAATTGAGTGCCGACCAGGCACACCGCAAAGGGAAAGCTGGGCAGCGGCCGGAGGCAAGGGACCTTGATGTTGACGGTCACTGGGATCGAGAACCTCTCAAGCCGTCTGAACATTTATCCTCATTCTGCAGTTAGAAGTATCTGCTTTCTATTATTATTATGATTATTTTATCAGTGTTTGTCTTCTATGTTTTCATAAGCTCAATTTTGCTGCGTCTACCCTAAAGAGCGTGACGGTAGAAATGGTGCGCGCATCGAGTCCATTGAAAATGGAAAGACAGAATGAGACTCATGCTCAAACGCATTATTGTACCACGTCAAATTGCTCAGTTTAATTGATTGTTGGGTTCCACCCCGGATTAAACGTCATGGTATGTCTATATATCCACACAAACTGTACGGCTTGGTTGTTGTGTTAGCATATTTACTGTTAGGCTGAAAGAGAACAAAAGCCGCTTCCGTAATGATGCCTTCCAGGGTTGACTCGATACTTTCTGTGCTCACCTATATAGTAATCAGGTCAGCTAATTAGGCTAGCATTGCTTTGGTTCTGCTTTGCTTCCCACTAGATTGTCACTAAAGGTTGCCTCGACAGCTCCTTCCTGATACACAGGTCTGGGGAAGAATAAACAAAACAAAAAAAACAAAACAAAACAGGATAGCTTCTGGGATCCTCATGCTCGCTAACGTCAGATGTCTTCTGAGAAATTGTTTCCGAGAACACCTCCACCTCCCACCCTCCATGATTGCAGAACAAAAACAAGCGCCAGCGAACAAAAGGCTGCGGTCTCCAGGCGCGGCGAGCAAATACATTTAACAGGTATGCTAATTATGAACAGATCCCCATCCATATTTGCATTGGGTGTGGGTGGCAGCGGTACAGAAACGGTACAATTATGACACAGCCCCCACAAGAAACACGTTTCGCTATCACTAATGCTGAACTAATTCACTTACGGAGAAGCGAGTACCCCATCTATGTCGCTTTCCTCGGCTTGGTTGCATTCTCCCATTCCGACATGGCTCTCCTCTTGTCTCGTTACTTTTGCAGCATGACTAAACCCCTCTGCCCACCGAGGCATGTATCCCCGCATTTGAATAGCATATACAGTGTGAACATATATTTATGAAACCCAGCTGATCCTCCCACCACATATACACATTGGAGGCGGGGAGGGACATGAAGCTCGACTGGTGCTCTGCTGGTCACCTCGCATCTGGGACAGCGGCACCAAAACACGCTCAGGCCGTGGTGACACAACCACCACTGAAAATGATAAGGGAAGCCACCAGTTGTTGAAACTAGCAAAATACTTCACAGTGCATTGTTACAGTGAAACTCCTCTACAACGAAACCTACATGGGCGAAAATACCCCCTAGTGTGAAAAAATCTTCATGTATGAAAGCCATTCCCATTTTTCTGCTCCCCCTACAACGAAATGTCCCCCTGTTGCATATTACGAATTGTTTTTGTCTGCCAGAAACGGCAACAGCAACCACCACACTGGTTTACACATGCGCAGTAGTACAGGAAGTATTTGTTACTGTTAGTGTTAGACACAGCATGAACTTTGCATTGCTAAAATGGCTACAAAACGGACCTTTGCATGCCAAGGAGTCAAGAAAAGAAGAGTTCTGACGCTTGAACAGTGGTAAAAGTGATCAAAATGAAAGATGGAGGAAGCAAAGTAAAAGACATTATGCAAGAAATGGATGCAAGTCTCCCGTTGTGAAAAATTTCTTGCTGCAAACATGATTTCGTTGTAGAGGAGTTTCACTGTCCTTAAAGTGGAGAAGTTATGCCGACAAATAAATAAATACAAGCTACACTCACTGTTCATAATTGTACCTCTTCAAACAAAAGCTGAGTGTTGTTGTTTGGCTGCTGTGCTTATATGCCTGAAAAGCACATAAGCCATTATAGGGCGACTTTGACCCGTCTTCACCCGAATTGGTATGAAGGCCATAAAACCGAAGGACAAGAGGAGACCGTGGGTAAGTGTTGCGGTGTTGCAATGTGGATTTCCATTAAGACTTTAATAGCTTGCATGTGAATCACGTTAAGTTGCCGGTTGATGAAACCCCAACATTACCTGTACTTATACTTAAATTAGAAAAGCTTTTACGACAATCTAATGGAGAGCTTTTATTGAGAATTAGATGAATGTAATAATATAATATTGACTGCTATATATTATATCGTTCTATTAGTGAATTGCATTACAATTACATCTCATCATCATTAGGATAGGACATTGTCGTGCCCTCTACAAACCCAAGTAGTTGATGGTCGCCCCACGTTAAATCTTGAGCCCCCCCGGCTCCCATTCTGTGAATGCGAAAGTGCTTGTTTATGTGAGCGTAAAAAAAAAAAAGCATTGTATATGTGTTTTTCTTTGTCCATTCGTATATGAGCAGGCCACTTTTAAGTTCACATAAAAGATGTAAGAAAACGCGACTGTACTATGATTTATTCTCGGGTGGCTGTGATGGTTCAATCCTGACTCTAGAAAAGACTTTTGTGGATTGTGAGAAGATTTTTGTGGTCATGAAGTGCGGTTTATGTGTGGTTTTCCATCTGTTTGTATTTTGGCCACTGATTCTCAACTGGTGAGTCAAGACCAAAAAGTGAAGTTAAGAGGTTAGCTGTGAGGTAATTTTAGAAAATCCCAAATTAAATATTTGATGTCACAATTACAGTCATTGAACAAAATACATTATATAAAAGCGGAAACAAAATAATTTCATTTTCTTAAATTCGACGAAGCAATCTTTTTCCCAAAAGTGAGATCCTGACGAGCGACAAATCCGCAAGTGTGCCATCACGGCATTATGGAAAGTGTACAAAGCCAGTCAGTCAAAAATGGATTCTCAAAGCGACGTTTTAAACATATCCGAGGGGCTGCGGGTGTTTGAAGAGTTGGAAGAAGAGGAGGTTGCTAGCAAGATATTTATTTGACCACACATGTAAGAGTCCGTTGCTCAGGATGTGGAGAATGGCCGGACACGGATTGGAGATGAGACCCGTCGGGATTGGAAGAACGGTAAACTATATAGGCTTCGGATATCAGTCTAGCGCTATTGTTTGCAATTCAATGCTATGTCGTGCTGTAAATTGCGTACGATGGGATTACCTACTTGGTCCATGTATTCACGCTAGCACTGAGAGCACACATTGATAGTGTGTCGGTGTCCTACATTGTCATTGCTAAGGTAGTTTCTGTTACATTGCCGGCCACACCGCACATTATATCGACAGCGTAAAGTAGCAAACCTTGAAAGATGATTCCATCCATGCACTCATAGAGTTTGAAACATTTCCGAACAGAATTACGTTTATGGACATGTGTAAATACTTGAAATCAAATGTTTTTCGTAAAAAACAGCCACAGTTATTCATTGATTATCACGCCTACCTTTTTTTGCAAATCCGGTTGGGAAAAGTTCTTTGAAGTGCTTGTGACAAGAACGCTCGACACCGGCGTGAAATTCATTCGCTTGGTGAGAACGCAACTGTATTGTTCCAATTTTATGGTCCATTTACATGCCCTATTCTTTTCTTTTGGTCACTCAAGCAACTGTTTGCCTGAATGTGAACAGTGCAAAGCCACACAGCGCCGAGGCATTTCGCCGAATAGCTCGATGCAATGA